ATTGCCTGCCGCCTCATCTTATTTCTTTTTAAATTCATTTCGGATAGGCAAGGCCCCAAAGGCTTGAACCAGTGAATAAATTTGGACGGGGCAGCAATATAGCGAATGGCTTAATTTATGGTCGATCAGCTCGTAGAGATCTTAAAGAATGTTCGACACGTCCATTACATAACAGTTGCCGATTTCTCTGCTATGAACCAAGCGATCGTAAATGTTGGCCTGTATTTTGCAGACATACGCATTGTCTCTCTTTCAAAGTGATTTTAAGTTGGTAGTGTACGAGCTTTTAATACCTGAGAGGGAAAAGCAAATGACCCCAAAGAGACACTTGTTCCATTTTAAGATGTACCTAGTTCTTAAGGCAGTTCACTACCCGCAAAACCGGTAACTACCCAGATAAAACGTGTGCACATTTTAAAACCCAAGAAAAGATATTAAACAGAAGAAAGAAATTTAGTTTCGTTAATCTGCGTAAATTTATGCTTTGACGTAGTGTCGAATACAGGAGATTTCGTCAGCCTTTATAGCCTGCAAAATAGAAAAAAAAACACAGTACAGATTTAGTTCTTCGGTGGATGAAAACGCAGATCGAGATATATTAGTAACTTGGGAAACAAGTTGTACTTAACTCCTCCACTATTTGTATTTACCTCTGCGCCTGTGGATATCACTGTAAGTTTGTGTGATGTGTATACGTTTAAAACCTAACTGATTACATTTTTCGTCATTGGTCCTGCATTTCCACTGCAACTAGTAACAACTGCAGATATGTGGTTGACGTTATTTCTTCTCTCTACGACGCAGCTGCAATGGCTTTTTCTTCAGCTTTCGTCTCTGTGCTCTCTATTTTCTCTCTGGGACATAAATAGCTTATTAAACTTCAACATTCCAACGAGCAGAGAACTTAATGCGCTGACTTTAGGTTATTTTTCGGAAATCGAATTGTTTTCTTAAGCATCAAGGCAACCGTATTCCACAACAAAAGTTCAGTAGAGGAGAATATCCGAGTTCCAGGAAGCAGTTCAGAAGAAGAAGAAGAAGC